TGCTTATCTCCATTTTGTTTAGCTCTTTTTCTGGAATTGTGATCTTTTCATTTGGGCCATGTTTCTTTGTCTGTGTTTTGGCAGCCTCCCTGTGTTTGTTTCTATGTATTAAGTAGGGCTGCTATGAGTCCCTTGGTAACATGGCCTAGTGTGGTAGGTGTTCTGTAGGGTCCAGTGGCACAGCCTCTCCTGTCACCCAAGCTGGGCGCTCCCTCTGTGAGGGCAGAGTACACCCTCCTCTTGTGGTTGAGCCTTGGTTGCTGTTGGCCGATCAGTGGGAGGCATTTACCCAGGTCAGTTTCTGTGACGACCGGCTGTGACCACTGACCCCCAGTCTCCGCTCTCCGTGGAGGATCTGCTGTGCAGGGGCAGGTGCTGGTGCTCTGACATGATCTGTAGCTGTCCACTGGGTGCACTGGCCCTGGGGTTTCTCAGGTGGTACAGGCCAAGGTCAGCCCCCACCTGTGTTTTGCTTGGGGCCACCCTGCCTGAGCTTAAAGCAGTCTGAGATGGCTGCTCCTTGTGCTGGGCTTGGAGGTTCCCAGGTGAAGCCAAGCTGTGAATCCAGGCTGCTAGTTGTGGGCCTGGGGCTCACTGAGGCCAGCTGCTGCTTGTTTGAGAGGATTTAGGAAGTTGTGTAGCAGGAGCCAAGATTAGCCATTCATATGGAAAAACAGCTTGGGTGGGCCTATAAGTTAGGTGGGGTGGAGTCTCAGGGATCTCCAAGGCAGGTCTAATAGTGTTAGGTTGTTGGAGTCTCAGATATGGCACCAGCCTATAAGGTCTGTAGGGGGAGTGTTTAGAAAAGGGACAATGGCCTCTGCTCACCTTGATGCCAGACACTCCAGTTTCTCCCAGTATGCCACTGGTGCCCTTCAAGCTGCCACCTCAGTGCTGGAGCTCAAAGGGAATGAATCTGAGTAGTTGAATCCATGTGTGGGTTCTTTAAGAGGAACTGCTGCCCTGGCTGGTGTGGCTCAGTGGACTGAGTGCTGGCCTGCAAACCAAAGGGTTGCAGGTTTGATTCCCAGTCAGGGCACAGGCCTGGGTTGTGGGCCAGATCCCCAGTAGGGGGCACTTGAGAGGCAACCACACACTGATGTTTCTCTCCCTCTGTTTCTCTCTCCCTTCCCCTATGTAAAAATAAATAAATAAAATATTTTTTAAAAAAAAGAGGAACTGCTTGGGCTCCAGCAGTTTCTGCCACTGACTCAGTCCCTGCTGGTTTTGCAGCGAGCAATTGTGAGGACTTCTCTTCCTGGCACTGGAATCCTGGGCTGGGGGGCCTGGTGTGGGGCTGGGACTCCTCACTCCTAAGATACCCCTCCCAAGTTTTCATTCACCGCACATGGGTGAAGGAGCAACCCATTCTGTCTGTGCCACCCCCACCCCACCCCCGTGTGGAGGGCGGTTCAGAGTGATGGCCGCTTAGTGTTTTCATTGTGATCGTGATGGGGTTCTGTGAAGAGGTGAGCCGTGTCAGCCTGCACTGCTGTCCTGACCGGAAGTCCCCCCATGGCTCTGAAATTTTGTGCTTTTTGTCCAGATATCTAAAATCATGCTATTTATTACTGAAATACTGGAAACAATCTAAAAAAACCTAATGGAGGAACAGTTCATTCTAAAGAAATATACGAACAGAGTATAAATGCTCTAGCCTTAAAAATAAGAAAGCTGCGTCCTGCAGATGAATCAACAGAGAAAGCAGCACACACACACAGAGGGGAGAACACGACTTAGCCACAAGAAACAAAGAGGTTCTGCTATTTGCAGCAACATGGGCAGGCCTCGAAGGCATCACGTTAAGTCACAGAAAGACAGACATCGTACGATCACGTTCACGAAGTGTGGGATCTACAGACCCCTCACTTGGACACGGTGGGTGGGCGGGGTAGCGGGGTGGCTGACGGGGGCGGGCGCGCAGGTGGGAGACGAGTGGGCTCTGGGGGCGTGACTCGTGGCCTGGTGACCGGGTCGCAGCCCTGCACTGTGTGCGCGGAGGTCGCTGAGACAGGAGACCTGGAATGTTCTCGTCCCAAAATGAAATAGATGGTTGTGTCAAGTGACAGATGTGTTTGTTGACTGACTTTATTGTGGTCATCATTTTGCACTGTCACCGGGGTGTCCAGCCCTTGGGCCATGTGCAGCCCATGGTGGCTGTGAATGTGGCCCAACACAGAATCGTAAATTTACCTAAAAACTTTTCCTTGCTCATCAGTTTTCATTTGCATTTATGTATTTAATGTGCTGCCCGAGACGACTCTTCTTCCAGTGTGGCCCAGAGACTCCACAAGGTTGGACGCCCCTGGAAGGTGTGTGTATGCTTTGAATTTGCACAGTGGACTTTTATATTTGAATAAAGCTGGGGGAAGAAAACCATGTGCTGCATAAAATTATTTGTACGCGCCAGTCATGCGACTGTAAAGAGCTCTCTGTAGTGGCTAGGGTGAAGCTACTTTGAGTAGGATAAAAAGTTGGTAGTTTAATTTAATTGGATTCTTTTTCAGGAGGGATGTTTGTGTGAGATGATGGTTCCATAGATCGGAGAGAGTCAGCATGGCCTGCCCCTTCCTGCCCGACAGCCAGCCCGAGGAGGGCTGGCTGGTGGGGAGAAAGGCCGTTAGCAGAATTGTGTTCTCAGAGCCAGACGCTGGGACTGAGGCTCAGCCTCTTGTCCTCGTCACTGCGCGGGCCGGAGAGGGCAGGCTGAGGTCAGCTTGTTCTGCATTCATGTTACAGTGAAGTTGCAGTTAGCTGCTAAGAGATTTTGTTTCCTTGAAGTGCACTAGTGGCTAAAATTTTCTGTAGTAACTGTGGGTAACTCATACATTTAAATAGATTAATTTTAGTTTGGTATTTGATTAATCGTTTGTAAACTGGACCAAGAGGAAATAGGAGTTGTTAATTAGCAAGAATGGTTGAAGAACATTAAAAAACATTTGACTTCCGTTAAATCAAAGAGTGGTTTCCTACTAATTTGGGACAAAAAGGTCAGGCCTCAGAGATTTTAGACACTGACTGGTAAGCCGATTTCATCGATGAATCGAACCACCACACACCCAGAAGCCTGTGGTTTGGTTCTAGAACCTGGTTTCGTCGTGGGATCTTCTTGGATGGAACGGTGTTGACCGTGGAGAGGCCACTCGTGTGAGTGGGGCTGCCGGCTTGGCAGTGCCGGGTCTCCAGGGCCGTCATCAGCACGAGTGAGCGAAGCAGAGGAAAGGGAGAGGAAAGGGTGGGCTGGAGAGGGCAGCGAGCCCTGGTGGGAGACGCCTGGGCTCCTGAGGCTGTAGCAGAAGGGAGGCGGGGTGCGCAGGTCAGCCGTGGGACGACGTCGCTGTGTGCGAGCTTGCAGAGAGAGCTGGCAGTAGGGACCGTCGCAGAGAGGGGGTCAGGCGCGCCTGGGCGTCCTGAGACGGGAGGGGGGTGTGCTCGAGAGGGAGAGAGAGAGAGAGAGAGAGAGAGAGAGAGAGAGAGAGAGAGAGAGAGAGTGAGTCGCGCGTTGGTGGGAGTGGTCCGGAGAGTCCAAGGCAGGGTGTGGCGGGAAGGCCGTGGCGGTGAGGAGCACACTTCACTGCCTGCATTGCTGTCCACGCCACCGGTCCCCATGGCAGAGAAGCTCTAGGAAGTAGGCACCTCGGCACTCCAACGACAGAACGACCCGTGAGATCTTTCTAGAAATGCCAGGGCCAGGACCTCACGCCCAGTGATCGCGCCGCTGTCTGGGGCCCTGGTGTCCGTGTTCCTGAAATGCCCTGCTGGTGGCTCTGCTGGTGGCTCTGCTGGTGGCCGGAGTGTCCGACGTCTGTCCAGGGTCCTGATCCCACGAGCGGCAGAGACAGTGTGAAACCTGCTGCTGCCAGCACCCCTCCCACGCCGCCTCCTCCCTGGCTGCGCGCCGCCTTTGCAGACGCAGCCCCCGGAGCGCCGCGAGGTCTGGAGCCCACCGTGCTGCTGGTGCCCGGTCCGGTTCGCAGAGCTTCCCCTCTCTCCGCGGTCTCTGGGCAGTGAGGGGCCGTAGTGTCACGTATCAGCCTTTACATGTGATGTTTCTTGTTTAAATTTATTTATTTATTACTGTTCAAGTACCGTTGTCTCAGCATGTGGTATTTCTTGTGCTCTTTCTAGCCCCCACCCGCTCCCCGATCCTCACCCTGCAGGCTGCAGTTAGGGCAGCAGCCCCCCAGGGAGCCGCGCCGTTCGGGGCACGCAGGCCGCAGAGGGGGTCTGTGGGCAGTTTCGCATTCCTTCTCTGTAAGGGGTGCTGTGGAAGGATAGTGGGTAGTTGGCACAGTTGAACACTGAAAAGTCAGGTAACTAGTTCACACCAAGGATGACCAGGTGTCTTAGCTCCCCCTGACTTCTGCCCCTGTGCGTCTCCACCCAAGACCAAGCTTCTGTGGGCAGACTCGGGCATAGAGAAGGTCGCTGTCCCTGTGGTCTGGGAGCACGGGCCCTGTGAGTGGCAGCTCTGCAGGAACCCGCGTGTCGTGCGGCAGTTCACCATGGGGCTGGCCGCTGGGCAGGCCCAGGCAGGGGCAGTCACCACAAAGCCTTGTCTGACCCCTTTGCCTGCAGGCTTTAGGGAGTAGGCACCACCGTCCTCATTCCTCAGGAGAGAAGGTGGAGGCTCCAGCTTAATCCACTAGCCCTCTGACTGTGGAATTACATGAGAGATCTTTCTAGAATACCAAGGCCTGGGCCTCCCCCTCCTCTGTCAGAGAGCCTGTGGCTTTGCACCCCATCCCTGTTGCAGATGCCTGCTCTTTACCAGCTGCTACCGCAGGTGGACCAGCAGGGGTCTCACACAGAGCAGGCACAGGCGAGCAGGCAGTATTTGGTGCATGGCATTCCAGGCAGCGCTAAGTAGGAATTGCAGACCTGGTCCCTTCCTTTTCCTGGGCAGGTATCCCCCACTGCAACTCTGTAAAGGTCCTGTGTTGTGTCTTGACCCTGTGTCATTTTCATGGTGTGTCCTTTCCCTGTCTCTCTCCCCTTAGGTAATTGCTGGCTTCAACCGCCTTCGGCAGGAGCAGCGGGGCCTGGCGTCCAAGGCGGCTGAGCTGGAGATGGAGCTGAATGAGCACAGGTGAGGCAGCCAGAGGTGCTGATGGTAGGGAGTTGGAAGGCCTTTTGGGGGGCAGGGCTGCACGGCACGGGCCTTCATTCTGAGACCCTGCCCCGTCGTCCGCCCCAGCCTGGTGATAGACACCCTGAAGGAGGTAGATGAAACCCGCAGGTGCTTCCGCATGGTTGGAGGGGTGCTGGTGGAGCGCACTGTCAAAGAGGTGCTGCCTGCCCTGGAGAGCAACAAGGAGCAGGTGAGCGAGGGCCCTTGAGGAGAGGTCTGGGTGACGAGGGGACGAGGGGCGGCCAGGGCTTTAGGGGACGGGTTGGGGGGGAGCCTGAGGCGGAGCTCCTATTGCAGACTGTGTTCTGCTGCTGCCCAGGACCCAGCTCCTAGACCGGGGGGATGGGGGGAGCACACTGAGGGCAGGGTTTCCGGTGGTGCAGCCCACAGACCCCTGCACCTGCATCACCGGGAGGACTGGTTTGACGCGTGGCTTGTCCGCTCCCTTCTGATGTGTAGCCTTTGGAGGTACGGCCAGTGAAGAGGCATTTTAAAAACAAGCAGCCCGGCCCTGGCTGGTTGGCTCAGTGGACTGAGCACTGGCCTGTGAACCGAAAGGTTGCTGGCTCGTTTCTTGGTGAGGGCACATGCCTGGGTTGCAGGCCAGGACCCCTGGTGGGGCCCATGCAATTGATGTTTCCCTCCCTCTCCTCCTCCCTCACCTCCTCTCTCTCTAAAAATAAATAAATAAAAAATCTTAAAAAAAACAAGAGCAGCCCAGGTGATTCTCATGCGCACTGAGGTTCCCGAACCATCGTGGTTGAGAAAGGAGTAACAGGAGTCACCCCAAGTGTGCGGGCTCTGCTGCCAGGTTAGGCTGGGGCCAGGGGTCGGAGGTATCCCCTCTTCCCCACTCCCCCAGCCGCTCTCCCCCCAGGTGGGGGACATGATGTGATGTCTGTTGCTTGCCCTCTAGATACAGAAGATCATCGAGACCTTGACCCAGCAGCTTCAGGCAAAGGGAAAAGAACTAAATGAATTCCGGGAAAAGCACAACATCCGTCTCATGGGGGAGGAGGAGAAGCCGGCCCAGGGGAGCGCGGATGGGGCCGCGGCCAAGGCTGGCTCCGCAGGGGTGCTGGTGTCCTAGGCACCGAGGCCTTGGCGTCTTTTTCTGCCCGGACTCCGCCTTCTTTCAATTTCTCTCTATTATTATTTCCTCTGCTATTGTAATATTTTTTTTTTTTTGTTAATTAAATGTTTTGGTCAGAATGCTGAGCTCTAGCCTGGAGCCTTCTCCCACCGTGGGGGTAGGGTTCGCTGGGGCATGGGAAGCACTGGTGGGTGCCTGTGGCTCCCAGCACCAGAGGAAACCCACACTTTCTCCTTCCCCTTGCGTACAAAGATGTCTACTGTTGGCTACCCTCACCCCAGAGATGCAAACACAAGTCCTGGCTCTTACATTGCAATTTAATAAACATCTGACGGGAGGCAGGCAGCTCTAGTAATAACACTCTGTGAGGCTTGACCGTGCACCTGGCGTGGTTCCTTAGAGGTAGAGGTCCAGGGTGCAGACCTGCGGGCTGGCTGTCCTGCCGTCCTCACCGAAACCGCCCACTAGGTACAGCTGGTCGTTCCAAAGGCAGGTCCGGTGGCCCACGCGCTTCAGTGCCCGGTCCGCACACGGGAAACGGAACCACAGAGCAGGGGAAGTGCCTGTTGAGAGAGGCGGGGCTGGGCACTGGGGCTCCTGGCACTGACGGGCTCTTAACAAGACCATAGGCTTGTCCCTGGTTTCCCTCCTCACTTGATTGTTGGCCTCTGCAGACCCAAATAATCGGCAGATTCCTCAAACTTGTCAGCTAATTCTTTCCCCACCCCACGACTACCCGCTGTCTTCCTATGGTCTCCGGGCTCCCCGCTCAGTCCTCAGACACAAGGCTGGCTCTCACGGGCGTCGTAGACATAGAGGTCGTTGCAGACCGTGTCTCTGGCTCTGGTCAGAGTTTCTCCACCGAATAACACAGCAAAGGGCCCGACCACAGAACAGGAGTGATTCCGAAGTCCCCGGGGCCCCTGCGGGGACCCCTGGCTGATGCTCACAAGCTTTCCCAGCTGTGCCATCAAACCAGGGGCCTGGGGCGGCTCCTCCTGGGGGGAGAAAAGGGACTGGAGGAATTTCAGCGTCCCGATTTTAACCGCCTCCCGCCCTGAGCAAGGCACGAACAGTACCTTAATCTTCCCGCGACCCCACTGTCCAGCTACTTCTGGGTCAGCTGAGCTGCAGCCCCCGAAGAGCAGAAGCTGGTGGCCTGGGCGGGGCCCCCGGGTCGGGAGTAGGGCGGCGCAGTGCCCGGATCGGGAGGCCGAGCGGCAGCTTTCCTCCGTGTAGCTGCGGGCACGCACCGGTCAGGTTGAGTCGGGGTTCTGGCAACTGCGCGCTGTCCTGCCCGGTTCCCACCCCTTAGCCAAGGGTAGAAAGCAGGCAGGGACGGGACGGTAGCAGGAGAGCTCGGCCATGCCCAGGGAGGAGGATGGGGCCATACCAATAGGTTCGGGCATTGGGGTCGAGCCTCAGCGAGTAGATGCTGCCGTAGCGGCGCTGAGTGCGGGTCCCGCCCTCCCGGCCGGCCACCCGCAGCTCGTGGTCCGACAGGCGGGTGCAGGTGTGGCCGCTGAGGCCGGCGGGGGGGCGGCTGCCGGGCTCCGAGGTCCACGCTTCCCACTCCCCGCGCTCCGTGTCCAGCGCAGCCACCGAGGCTAGGCGGCGCGCCCCGTCCCAGCCGCCCACGGTGCACAGCCAGCGCCCGCACAGTGCCGCTGCGTCGTGGTGGCTGCGCCTCGGGCCGCCCCGCGCCCCCTCTCGCACGGCCAGGCCCCCGACCACGTCCAAGACCACGGTGTCGCCGCTCGGCTCCGTCGCCCCGCCGCTCAGGAGGCCCCCCACCACATAGAGCCGGCCCCGCAGCTCAGTGCACGAGTGGAAGGCCCGCGCCAGCAGCGCGTCCCGGGCCACCGGGCGCCATGTCCAGCGCGAGCCCCCTGCCCTGCCCGGGGACGCCGCCGCCATAGTCCGGGATGCAGGGGGACTGCGGGGAACCCTCCACAGGGTCCCAGAGCAGCCGGCGTCTCCAGCTTCGCTCCCTCCGCCGTCGCCCAGCAACCGGCGCAGCGACGCGACCCCGGCGCGATCACGCCGCAAACCGAAGGTCGCAAAGCGCCGGTTACCGTGGCGACGGGAGCCCAGGCAGCGTGGTTACCGTGGCGATAGGAGCTGTGCGAGGTGAATGAAAGTCTTGGAAGCCGGTTGCCTGCGGCAGCGCGGGGCAGAGGACCTTAGAAAGACCGCGTCCCTAAGCGGCGAGCTAGGTGCCGGCGGGGCGGGAGGGGCCGTGTCGGGCTCCCGGGGGCAGGAGGGGCGCCCTGGCCTTGCGGCCGCAGACTCACGCCGTGTATTTATCCGCAGCAGCCCCACCTTCGTGCTCCGCCTGGCCGCTGGGGGGCAGCAGAGCCAAGGGCTGGAGCGGCCCTGGTGAGCTGGGCGGGGCGAGGACCGACGCCGGCCGTCCCGCGTCTTCCTCTGTTCACGCCGGGCCCCTGGACGGCTCCTCTCTGTTCCCCCGGGACCCAGCGAGAAACGAAGGGGCCCAGATGCAAGCGGCTGGTTTCTGCCACGGCGGGCAGGGCAGACAGAGGCCCGCTCCGGCTGGGCGGGGCGGGACCGAAGGTGGATCTGCGTCCCCGGAGCTGGGTTGTACGCGGGGCGAGCGCTGCCGCCTTGGCCTCCGGTTTCTGCACCTCGATGGCCCAAGCCGCAGAGGTGGCCAGCGTGGGCCAGCGGTCCGGCAGCACAGCCGGGCTTTGCCCGCCCTGACTCGATCCTGCGTCAGTCCGAGAAGGCAGCGCGGGCGGCATGCTCAGGGAGGCACAGCCAGAGGACCGGGAGGGTGCCGGGACCGGCACCCCATGTGCGCCTTAAGCCCGCGGCTCCGTCATAGCGGGGAAAGCCTCTGTGCCCGCAGCTGTCGCTTCGCTGGAGTCCAACATGGAGGACCCTGTTTCCCAGTTCATGGGGAAGTCTAACAAACCCCTAACTTCTCATGCTTTCGGCTGAAGTCTGAAAGCCATTCTTCTCCCTGAGGCTTGTGGCTGGCTGACCTCTCAACAGCATGATTCTGATCTGTCACTGTCCTAGGATGTAGGGGGTGCTGCCCAGGGGTGGGGTCACTCTCCCTACATTGCAGTGACCTGTACTGCCTGTTGACCTGCTCTGCTCTGCAGCTGCCCCACCACCCCCAGGTCTGGTGCAGGGGTGAAGCTGGATTGCGCGGCCCCAGGGGGCTTCCCCTGGGGGGCCAGGTGGGGTGGCTGCGGGGCTGCACCTGAGGGCCAGATGAGCCATCTCTGGTTGGAAGAGGAGTCAGCCCCGCCACCTCCAGCAGAGAAGCTGCAGGGCCTGGTGTTAGCCCAGGATGTCCCCTTGGGGACAGTTGGGCTGCAGGGAGCGCAGCATGGGGTCCCTCCCAGGATCCACTGTCACCATGGTCACAGGACCCCGCCTCGCCTCTGCTTTCCCCTCCTCTTCACTGCTGTGTCTCCTGCTGCTGCCCCCACTGGGGAGACTCTGATTCCATGAGGGCCCCTACTCTTGCCTGAGACCAGCCAGGGCCTCTCTCTAGGGCCTCCTAAAAGCACCAGCCTGGACTGAGTCCGGGACCAAGGAATAAAGGCACCTGCCTCTGCACTCACTACCTGGTCCCTGACCTTCATGACACTGTGTTTTCAGAGCGCTCCTGGGCTGAGAAGCAGGGCCCTGTGCGTCCCGTCTAGCCACCTCCCGCTGCCCAGGTGGTTCTGCCTGGCTCTAGGGCCCTTTACAGATTCCACCCCAAAGCTCTGATGGATGCTGTTAGGTGACCGGGAACCGTGGTTGTCGCTAAGGATGGGGCTGGAAACTGGAGATCGAGGCGTCCGCAGGACAGGCTGCGCAGCACATGCGATCCCGTGGGAAATAGGGCATCACCCTGACACCGAGCACAGGGACACTCCAGCCTGAGGGGAGAACAGGTGTTTTCAGCAGAGGAAAAGATGCTGGGATCCCGTGTCCTGCACGGGCTCCCTCCCCGCCCCTCCATGGGTGCCTGCGGCCCCTAGGGAATGGAAGCAAGTCCCGTATCCCTAATCTCCCACAACGATGCCAGTCGGCACCCCAACCCCTTCTGTACGAAGTGCAGAAGCCAAGGCAACAAGCAGATGAGGAGCAGCAGCGCCCGATAGGAGGGACCGCAGACCTGTCCGTGCCCACGCGCCAGCTGCTTCCACCCTGATGTGCTCTTGTGTCTCCTGGAGCTGTGTCCCTCCTCTGACCTGGGATCTCACCACAGACAAACAGGATGTTACTCACCCAGGAGCTTGCCCGGCTGCCCCCAGCCCACCCTCCCAACACCCAGCCCCTCCCGCCCGCCACCCACTGGTCTGACCCTCACTCTCACTCTTCCTCCCCCCACCCCACCCCACCCTGGCCCTGCCTGACTCACCTCTAAGACCCATTGACACAAACAAAACTTTCAGCATAACCCACTCCAACCGGTTTAGCTCAGGTGTGTGGCTGCCACGGGCCAGTGGGGCCACAGGCGGGTGCTGGGACACGCACAGGTAACGAGCGCCCGCACCTGTGCCCACGGCTGAGGATGGACGCGGGGGCCGCTCATTCGCCGGGAGCGCACCACGAGGCGCAGTTCCCGTCGCTGTCTCTGCTCACCCAGGGCTCCCCGAGGGCGGGGGCCGGGCGCAAGGCCCCGACCCCCCTGGACTGGCACGAGCGGTGCTCCCCCTCCCGGGTGGATGAATGCAGGCAGGCACACCGGCTGCTGCTCAGACACGCGTCTGTGCTGAAGATGCCACCGGCGTGAATTGCCCCCATTCTAGGGCCTGGAATGTGGGTGGGAGGAGGGTGGGAAGAGGCATGAGGGGAATGGGGCTCGATGAGACGGGCCCCTGCTCTGGGAATCTTCCCCAGCCAGCACTCCTTGCAGCCCGTACCCTGGAACCTGCCTTCCGCAGGCTTCCCCCCAGATAAGGGACGCAAAGGCCTGAGTATGAGGACGTGGCCCTGCTCCCCTTAGCAAGGCCTTGAGGCGCTGGATCGCAGCTCAGGGGCGGGGGGGGGCACGTGCAGGGAGGGGGAGAAAGACCCTCCTCCCCCAAGGCCACCTCTGCTGTGTACAGGGACCGTGAAAGTATGATGGTCCCTCCTGGCCTCCACACCACCTGTGGAGTCCCACCTCCATCCGCCCTCCGTGTGGCTGGGGCCGGGGTGGCTCCTGGACCAGCAGCACTGCAGCAGGGGCCCAGGTGTGCTATGAGCGGGAAAGCTGATGGAGACGCAGGGCCTGTTTCCCTGGCTGTGCCTCGGTTTCCCTGGGTTTCCTGGGCCGGAGAGGTGCGTCCGTGGGAAGGGGAAGAGCAGCTCTGGAACCATGCGATAGGATCCAGCGTGTGGTAATTATGATTATAACGTGGGGTGCTCCCCTCCCATTCCCCCCGCCCTGCCCACCCCTGCCTGCCACCGGGGATCTCAAAGCAGCATCAGGGTGCGGCCGCTCCCCAGCCGTAACCCTCCCTCCACCCCGAGTCCTGAGAGGAGAGGGGCTCGCCAAGGTGAACGTGGGCAGGAACCGGGCAGTTTGGGCATCCCGCCTGGCTCTTGCTCCCTTGAGGAAGAGGTCACTGCATGGTCCTGGCTGAGAGCTGGGATCTGGGGCCGGAGTGGGGTCCTGGTCCAGAGCAGGGAAGGGCCCGGTCCCGGCTGCCGACCAGGGGTCTCTGTACTGACACCCCTGCCTGCCTTCCTGGACTCACGCCTTTAAGGCGAGGTCTCCTGTCCCTCGTGTGCTGGGGACTGCCTCGGCGTGGATGCCTGAGACACGATGGTCAGACAAGCCTGACTTTCTGGTTCACAGACTACAGCTGTCGTCCTGTCCCTCAGTTCACACGTCTGCTGGCTGCCTGGCACACAGCAGGGTTCAATCAGTGCTGCCTGAACTGAAGCTGACGATTTAGTTAAGGAGATAAGATGCACACAAATTACATGTAAGTGCACAAACTATAATAAAGGGCCTAGCAGAGGCTGAGGAAGAGTGGGGGGACACGGTTCAAACCAAGATCGTCCTCGCGAGGTCCAGTATCGTGAGATAAATGGGCAAGGTGACCATGGAGACGGTGGGAAGGGACCCCTCGCACCTGTGGGACTCCTGGCCAGGTAACAGGAAGGTGTGCCCAGATGAGGCCCCGCTGGGGAGGCCAGGAACCTAGGGGCTAATCTCTTGGCATCTCCTCCCTAGGGGTGGGGTACGGGGCCCCTCAGGTTCCTTCTTAGGGGTCTCTGAAGTGGCCTCCCGCCACTCCCTCGGGGACACGGCGTCTGAGCAGGCCCTGAGAGGTCCCCCTGCAAGCAAGCCCCTCTGTCCTGCTTCTCATCTGAGGGACGAGGGATGGGGCTGGGGCTGTCCCCGGGGCTTCTGCCCGTCCCTGAATCTGGGCCTCCAAAGCTGAGCACCCCCCAACCCAGGAGACTGGGGGGATGCTAAGGCCCCAGGAAGGCAGCAAGGCTGGCAGGGTGTGGGATGCTGAGGTTCCTCTCCACCCACAGAGCCGTATTCCTCCTGCCCGCACCTCCCTCCTGGGGCCTCGAGGGCCTGCTGCTGCCCTCCCTGCCCCTCCCCGCCCCCTCCTTGCCTCTCTCTCCCCAGCCCCTTCCACACACACTGCCAGCTGCAGCCCAGAGCTGACGGCGGGATCCCACCCCACCAGGTCCTTCCCTCCCTCCCCAGCACCCATCAGCTGGCCCGGGCCGTGGGGGCGGCGGCTCTTCGTCTCCGTGCCAGGCCCAGCCCCCAGAGACGCACCTGTTCTGACCTGCTGAGCAGGTTCCCAGGTTTCTACCGTGGTTGTTGGCCACAGCGTGGGAAGAAGCTCTGGGGGAGTGCAGAGCTCCGGTCACGGCTCCTTGGGGGTAACCGCAGTGGGGCGGGCAGAACGGGCCGGGTCCCCCGCAGGAGCCCCCGAGGGACGACGGGCGGGCGCGCGGGCGCCTGAGGACTCTGCGACTTCCGCTGCCTTTGGGTCGGCGCCCTCCCCAGCCCCCGAGGCGGCTCCCAGGGAGCACTCGGCGGACCTTCAGAAACGCTGGGCAGGTCTGCGTTCGGACCGAGGCCCTGTCCCTGGGAGCCGACATGTGGGGGCCTGAGCTCTGGCTGCCGCTGCTGCTCCTGGCGTCGCTCACAGGTAGGCCTCCCGGAGCCACCGGGACCCTCACGGCTGAGCCCGGGCTGGGTGTGCACGCACCCACGCCCTCCCTCCCACGAGTCTGCACTGAGACTCACTCGCTCTCCCACCCCGGCTGCCGGTCGCGCCCCCAGAAGGGTCAGGCCAGCTCCCCTTGGTGTCCCCTCCTGCCCTGGGCCAGGCCACCACGTCCGGGGGCCCTGACGACTGCCGCAGAGGCTGGAGCCGCCTGGGGGCGGGGGGGGGGGAGAGGAGGGGACCAGTGTGGAGGGACAGGGGACCCTCCACTCGGGGTCCCTGGGAGCGGCCCCCTGTCCCCTCTGGGCCCGGAACTGCTGACTGGCGCCCAGGCTGACTCAGGCTGAGCTGGTCCACAGTCTCGGGAGGGAGTGCAGGATGCCCGATGCCCAGACGGAGGACAGGGCGTCTCTCCTCCTCCACCCGCAACGTCCCAGGGTCCCAGGACCAGGCACCTGTTTGAGGGTACGGCCCCTCTCTCTGCCTGGACATTGTTAGAGGCTTGGCAGGCTCACGAGGTGGTTCCTCAGACGAGGTGGGACCTGGGGTAGGGAACCTCGTCCAGCTAGGTGTGGTTCCCTCCAGTTCGTCCCTGCTCCCCATTGTCTGAGTCAGATGCCGTGTATTCCTGCTCTGCTGTGTGGAAAGCACGTATAAGTGAGCCGGATTCCTGATCTTCAGATGGGGGGCAGAGTGCATGCTGTGCCCAAGGAGACCCCAGTGGGATTGTGTGGGCTGCGCCCAGGGTGAGGAGTAGCGGAGGCAGCCCCCTTGGGGGCCTGGGGACCTGCTCATAGGACAGTTTGACTCCCAGTCGTTGGAGCAGCCTGGTTGTCCAGTGGGGCCAGCATCGTTCCCGCCCTGTCCCCAGCCAAAGCTGTCAAGGGCTGGACGTGCGGGCGGTGGGGCTGCTCTCCTTCGATCTTAAAACAGAAAGGCGGTTGGCCCCTGCTCCCCACATCCTAGGTCCCATTCCCCAGACTACCCTCCTTACTGGGTTAGGCCAGGAGGGCGGGGCCCAGCTGCCGGGGCCAGGGCCTCAGCCACTCTCCTGCAGGACCTGCCCACACTCAGGAGTGGAGTTGCTGAGTCTCAGGACTCAGCCGGGATCAAAGAGCTCGCAGCTGCAGCTCCTGCGCTGGACAGGAGGGAGAGGGAGACGCAGGCCGGCCAGGGAGCCCTGCCAGTCACCGCCGGGTCTGCGGGCTCCAAGCCCACTGAGTCCAGGACAAATGCCTGTGGCAGGGCAGGGTCCCCGGAGTCTTTCTCCACGGCATAGAGTGGTGCTTCCTAACAGAAGGCAGGGGAAGGGGAGAGGAGGCCCCCTCCAGGGAGGGCATCACCCCGACCTTGCCCAGTGCCTGGCGGAAGGGGGCTGTGGACAGGGAGACAGCCTGGCCCCACGACGGTCCTGCAGGCTGGTGTCCAGCCAGGCACCACAATGCTGTCACACACACAGGGCTGGCGGGTGCCCCGAGGGCCGGGGTGCAAACCGCAGGCCCCGGCCCGAGCACCAGCGGGGCCCCTCACACTGCTACCCCCGTCCAGCTTCTCCGTGTCCAGGCATCTCCTCGGTGGCTCCCGGGAAGCTGGACTGTTTCTTGCCCCTGAAAAGGCCTTGGGCTCTGGCCCCAGTTCGGCTATTAATCTGCTAGGGGGCCGGGGGCACCTAAGACACCCAGAGGTAGGACCTGATGGTCACCATGGCTTCCCAGCTCGGAGAGCCTCTGTGTGGGAGTGTCCGGCCGGGTGGTCAGTCTGGCTGTGGTGACAAAGGGGGGCGGCCCGGCTGCATCTCTGAGTGGGGACCGAGGCCAGCTTTCCCCAGGCACCACCACCTTCTGCCTCAGCACGTCGGGCCCCCAGCTGCGGGGCCAGGGGAGCGCTGCGCCCCAGGGCCCTGCCCCGCCCCGATGGGGAGCGGAGTGCGCTTGGGAGGCGCCCGCACGCAGCTCTTTGTTTCTCTGTGATGGGACGAGCTTCCGGGTGAGGTCCCCTCCTCCTCCCTCCCAAGCCTGCCGGCACCCCGGCACCCCTCCGGCAGGGTCTTCTCCTTAGCTCTTCAGCCCCAGCTCGACCCCTGGGGTCAGAGGGTGAGGGGTTCTCTGAATTCTGAGGTCTGTGCTCTGGGGATGAGGACCAGCCTTTTGTTTGGGTTGGTTTCCTAGAAAGGGAGGGGCCATCCCTGGTTTTCTGCTGCTGTTACACTGGGGGGGGGGGGCGGGGGGCGGGCCCTTCCCTGTAGGACATACCCAGACCCAGGGAAGCCCCGTGGCCCCAGGGACCTCAGTCCCACCCTGGTGCTTCAGGGGCTGTGCTAAGGGGACCCTGCCACAGAGATGGTGCAGCAGAGTCCACTGTCCCAGAAATACCTAGGTTGGCTGCCTCCGGTGCCCCCCACTGGGGATCTGGCCTGCAGCCTGGGCATATGCCCTGACTGGGAATCAAACTGGTGACCTTCCAGTTCACGATCCACTGAGCCGCAGCAGCCAGGCCCACACAGCCATTTCTGCCCCAGATTTAGGCAGAGGGGAGGGGTGGGGAGGGTGGGAGATGAGTCAGGAGGGAAGGTGAGGAGCTCAGCAGAACGGAGCTGAAAACGAGAAGGTGACCTTTAGACCTGGGGCAGCCAGCCCCTGCAGGAGGGCTGTGAGGGAGGGGCAGGAACCTCAGCCCCAGCCTTCCCCACAGTTCTCTGCCCCCCGCCCCCCCGCCCCACCGTGCCTTTACAACCTATATGAGTTGAGAGCTGAGCGGGGGCAGAGCTGGCCACACTTGGGGGGCGGCTGGCAGGATTTGAGGGGTGGCTAGGATCTCGGGAGTTTGGGAGAAGTTGAATCCTGGGTCTCCCACCCACGGTGTGGCTGCTGGGTGACTCAGCCGGGCTCAGACTGGCTCCGGGGGGTTTAGGGGACTTATCTGTGCGTCTGGGCCAGAGCGGAGCTGCCTCCAGGCCTGCCCTGCCCCATTGTTCTCGGCTCTCTCTGCGATCCGTGTGGCCCCCCCCAAGACTCTAATCGGTGGGTGGGCGCTTTGCCCGGATTGGGAAGCTCTCACTAAGCTGGGGGGCTTAGGACAATGGGGGTGAGGGAGGGAGGTGGGTGCAGCCGGAGGGAGAGGCTCCGGGTTTCCAGAGGCCCCCAGCACTCCAGGGCCACGGCGGTGCAGGAGGGGGAAGGAGAGCGGCTTGTTCGTGTCACCTGTCCTGGATGGGGGGCTTCAGGCCCCTCCCAGGTGCCTTCTCGCTTCAGCCTCACCTGCGTCGTCCCCCCACCCTCTGTGGGGGAGCTTGTGGCTGTGTGCTGAGGGGAGGCGAGGGTTCATGGTGAGGAGCCCCAGCCCCAGGCAGGGTGCTCCCTTCCGCCACACCCACCCCAGAGGACCTTCGGGGGGACCTGGAGACAGAGCGGGTTTTCGGGTAGTGGCTGCAGAGGAGCCCTTGTGGGGCCAGAGGTGCTGGGGGCCCGGGGAGCAGCTGGAGGCGCAGGGGACGAGTCCGAGTGAGAACCTGAGGGGTAGGGCCGAGTGCGGTCTCGTTCTGTTCCGTTCTGTCGTTCTGTCGGGGAGCCCTCGGCGGCAACTCCCCGTCACCTGGGGGGACGGCGACCTCGTTTTGGGGTGTCTGCGCCTGAGCCGACTCTGCCTGCACCCTGGGCTGAGGGGGGAGGGCGGCTGGGGAGGCGCTGCGGCCAGACCCGGAGCCCCGCACCGCCGACCTCGACAGCTGAGACAGGGACCCCGAGTGTCGGCCACGCGCAGAGTCCTCCGCCCCGCACCCACACGCCCAGCCACCCGGAACGGCTCTCTGGGCACAGACAGGCACACACACTCTCCCGAAGGTCAGACGGGACCCTCCCGGGCAGCACGCCCCCCGCAGGCGAGGAGGCGGCCACAGTGTGTGGGCACCAGCCAGAGAGCCCCGGGCCTCACCCACGGCCCCGCGCCCAGGCCCCCAGAACTCACACTCCCTCCTCGCTGACCCCCACTGCACCCTCAGGGGATGCAGATGGGGAAAGACCCCTTGTAAGGAAGAGGCTCCTTCCCCAGAGACACTCTCTGCAGCTGTCAGCCTCAGTTTCCCCTCCTGAGGCCACAGGCCAGCAGGCCTCTCACACACGGGGAAGTTGGGGCCAAGCTCAGGGTGGGGAATGGCCAGCCAGTGGCAGCCGGGGACCGAGGGCCCGTCTGGGAGCAGGCTGGCGTGGGGGCCTGGCCCGGGTGCGGGAAGCTGGGCAGGGACCCGTCCGGCCAGTCAGGCCTGTTCCCTCCTTGCGCAAGGTGTGGCTGGTGGCGGCTGTGGCTCCGAAGCAGGTCTGAATCACCACGGCTCCTGACCAGCGTCCTGGGGCCGCAGGGTGGAGGGCTGGGGGGTCAGAGGGCGGAGGGCCTGCCAGCAGAGTCCACCAGCCTCAGCAAACAGGCGCGGGAGGAGGGTGGTGGGCTTGGCTCGCACCGTGACCTCACCAGGCAGGCAGCGTGTCTCCTGCACGCTGGTGACATCATCGTGCTGACACCGGGAAGGCCCTGGGCGGGGGAGGGGAGGCTGTTCTGGCTGTTCTGGTTCCACCCAAGCCCAGGCTCCCTTCTTCCACGTGTGTGTGTGTGCGCGAGTGTGTGCATGCGTGTGCGTGCGTGGAGGCGGGTGTCACCACGAGCTGAGGTGCTTCCACCAAATACTGGGTTTGGGGCAAGGGGGCTGTGGGAGAAATCCAGAGGGACTTCCCTGTTGCCCTGGGCTCCTCACTGCAAAGTCCGGGCTGGTCCCTCGGGACGTGGGTCTCAAGGGCTCACCGGCAGGAACCCGAGGGTGGGGCCAGGCGTGCGCTGGCTGCTCCGTGCCGCCGTGCCCTAGGGGCTGATTTGGGGGAGAGTGTGGGGGACTAGCTGGGGGGCAGGTGGTTGTCAGGTGTCAGGGTGTGCATGACAGGCACACCCAGGCGCCATCCTGGAAGTCGTCCTCGGGGGGCTCCAGTGTCCCCCTGGGGCCGGGCTCGGGTCCCGGTGGCTGGCGCAGACAGCGGCGTGGGAAGCAGAGGGCGAGGTGCAGGAAGCCCCTACCTGCGGCCACCCCCGGTCTTCCCCGGCGGCCCTGCCCCCTCCGGGGTGGACGGGAGGTGCCGGGGAGGGCGCACGTGGCTCGCTGGACTCCTGGGCTGGGCTGGGTGGGACCCACGCCGACTCGGGCGGCTCAGGGCCCTGGCATCCGGCCCTGCAGGTCCGTCCCGGCCCTTCCGGGGCCCTCCCAGCTCCCGGCAGCCTCCTCCTCCAGCACCCCCACCCCGTGCAAGCAGGGCTGCGGGGACCCTCCCTCTGCCCCAGGCTCTGCTTCACCGGGACCCTCTGACCCACTGTGGGGGCGCCTTTGTCCCCTCCACCCCATGCCTGCCCTGCCCACCCCCTTCTTGGTTCCCTTGCAGCAAACCCAGCTAACCGGCCCCTCCTGTCAAAGGCTGCCCTGCCCACCCCTCCCTGCCCAGGCCAGCGAGACCGCTGGTTCCCCCTCGATGCCCCTGCCCACCTTCTGCCTGTCTCTCGCTCCCTCCCGTATTTGCTCACCCGGCGGCCCGACAGCGTGCCTATTCTGGGCCGGAATGCAGGCCACGAGCTCCGAGAGCGAAGCGAGGCCCAGTTTCCACTCTGAGGAGCTCAGCTGGTGGGAGCGGCAGGCACAGCCCGTGGGATGAAGCGCTGTGTGTGCGTGTGTGTGCGTGTGTGTGGCGGGGGCGGGGGCGCCGCTGCAGCGAGCGGCCTGCGCCCACAGTGGGGTGGGGGTGGGCTCCAGGCGGCGTCCACTCGGGTGAGCAGCAGCCACCCGAGAGGGAGGAGGGCGTCCCCGGCAGGGCCGGGGGAATAGGGCCGCACGGCAGGGGCATGGGACGCGTCTGGGTCTGCCCGTCGTCTCTCTTCCCGGGCAGCGACGGTCCTGCCGAGTTTCTCCCAGGAACTGTCCCTTCTCCCCGCCACCCACCAGCCGGGGACCCGCCTGGCCCCTCCTCGCAGGGCACTGAGTCAGGGCCGCCCCACCTGGGCCCCTCTCTGTCTCCACCTGCGCTGTCACGGGGCCGGAGATGGGCCCTCCTCGCAGACGGGGCTGCAGGACCGCCCCAGAGTGCCCCTTGCTGTGCCCCACGGGCGCACCCGCCCCCTGGGCCGTCCCCGCCTCCTGGTCCTCGGGCTGCAGCTCCCGGGCCAACCCCGTCGCCCACGGCGCATCTGCCCTGAGCCTCCACGCCCCGCGGCCTTCCTGTCTGGGGGGTTTGCTCCTTCCTCTCCCTCGGCCTCCAGCCCCTCCCACGCAGGACACCGTCCTCTCTCTGGGAATCCGGGTGTCATCTTCAAGCCTCGCGAAGAATGCTCTGCAGGGCTTCCCAGGGTGGGCTCTGCCCACACACCCAGGCCCTTGCTGTGGCCTCAGCTCCCGGCCACACCTCCCGCAGGCGCCCTTTTCCCTTGGGTGGGACAGGCTTGTCCGTGGTGGCCCCCCCCAGGGGACCCTGAGCGCCCTGAGGGCAGAGGCCAGGTCTCCCCTGGGTCACAGCCCCCACCCCGGGCAGGGAGAGCTGTGTGACTCTTCGCTCCTCCTGGGCGTGGCCTTAGGCAGGTCACTTCCCCCCACTGGGTCTCAGTGTCCTCAGCTGTTACAGGTGGTAGTAACGCCTACCTGCTGGGAATGCCCTGTGGTTGTGGCGGTAGTGAGGTAATGGCCCCAAGGACCCCCCCCTTCACTGTCATCCTCATGATGCGTCCCCGCCCCCTCCGGCTCCGGCCCAGCGGGGCCCCCTAACCCTGGCTGTCTCTCTGCCCCTGCAGGCCGGGGCGCGGCTGGCGAGCTGGAGAGCGCGGACCTGGTGACCGTGGTGCTGGGTCAAGACGCGAGGCTCCCCTGCTTCTACCGAGGCGACCCGGACGAACAGGTGGCGCAGGTGGCCTGGGTGCGCCTGGATGGGGGCGAGGGCCTGCGGGAGCTGGCGCTGCTGCACGCCCAGTACGGGCTGCACGTGAGCCCGGGCTACGAGGGCCGCGTGGAGCAGCCGCCGCCGCCACGGAGCCCCCTGGACGGCGCGGTGCTGCTGCGGAACGCGGTGCAGGCGGACGAGGGCGAGTACGAGTGCCGCGTGAGCACCTTCCCCGCCGGCAGCTTCCAGGCGCGGCTGAAGCTCCGCGTGCTGGGTAAGCGCGCTGCCCGGGCGGCGGCCCCGGGGCGCCTGCGGGGGCGGGGCGGGCGCAGGAGTAAGAGGTGGGGTAGCGGAGGTTGAGGGCGCCTCGCGCAGCGCCCCCCGCATCTCCAGGTGACCCCGGCGACTTGATTCAGCCGGGTCAGCCTTGGGGAAGAACCCTTGGTCAGCAGCGCTTCCTCCCGCTGACCTGAAACCTGCCCCTTGGTCTCTTCCAACCTGTGGGGCAACACGGCCCCGCTGGTTCTCTCTCACCCGTGCCCCAGCCCGCCCCCTCCCCAGCCTCCAACCGCGCCCGGATGCCTTCCGCGGCGCCTGCCCCATTCCTTCCCAGCCCAGGTGGGAGGCCCTCCCTGTGGCTGGGGCCCGGACGACTGCCCAGCGGCCCACATTGCAAAGACCGGAGACCCCAGCCTGGTGGCGCAGCTGGTTAAAGCTTCGTCCCTGACACGCCAAGGTTGCAGGTTCCACGTAGATCAGGGCACATACAAGAATCTCTCTCTCTCTCAAAAAAAAAAAAAAAAAAAGAGAGCAGAAGACCTTCCTCCCGCCCCACCCAACTCTCTTCTCCAAGCTGAACTTACTGGTTTCCACGACATTTAAAGACACCCTTTCAAAGCCTCCCTCCAGCGGGCGTGCAGGCCCAGATATGACCAGCTAGGGCTAGTGTCGTTTGATCTGGAGCTTCAGTGAATGCGGTCAGAGCCGCAACTGTCCTTGAAAGCGTCACCTGGCCCTGTGGGAAGGCGCGGTCAACGGAAGCCCTAGACCTACGGCCGGGTGAGGTCTCCCCACTCACAAAGACGGGGAAGGCCGGCGCCTGCCCCTCCACCCACCAGCCCTGCCGAGAAACGCGCACGTGACCTAGGCCTCGGCTCCGGAGAGCTGCTGGTCTAGGGACACGTCCCTCAGCCTCCCCGAGCCTCCGCCCCCCACCTCCGGACCAGGGACGGTGACCTCTGTGCAGCTCAGTGGTGTGTTGGCAGGGTAAACGAGATGACATTCGTGAAGCATTTAGCATAATACTGGGCGTATAGCAGCGCTTAATAAATGACGCCAATTATGATTATTATTATATACATGTGATCTGGTTTGTTTTTAAATTACTTCATTGTTTTCATTCAAAAATGGCCCAGCTTATTGTAGAAAACACCAAATCCCACCACTCATCTGGTATCTTTCTTGGCGCAGGGAGAGGGGCTGAGCGGGCAGGGGCGGGGCCGCCTGGCCAGTGGAGCAGCCTCTGTGTGACCACGCCTCCTGTCCGTCTGTCTGTCCGCAGTGCCTCCCCTGCCCTCACTGAACCCTGGCCCAGCGCTGGAAGAGGGCCAGGGCCTGACGCTGGCCGCCTCATGCACAGCGGAGGGCAGCCCGGCCCCCGCCGTGACCTGGGACACGGAGGTCAAGGGCACCACGTACAACCGCTCCTTCGCGCACTCCCGCTCGGCCGCGGTCACTTCGGAGTTCCACCTGGTGCCCAGCCGCAGCATGAACGGGCAGCCGCTCACCTGCGTGGTGTCCCACCCGGGGCTGCTGCAGGACCAGAGGATCACCCACGTCCTCCGAGTGGCCTGTGAGTGCTGGGGTCTCGGGGGCCCACGGGCATCAAGAAAATGGGCGAGACGCTGGGACACCCCGAGTCGTACCAGGCCGGCTGGCAGGGTCCCGTGGCCGTGACACGTGGCTGAGAGAACGCCAGCCGGAGCGGGGAGGGCCAGGCCGGGCCGGGCCACCCCAGAGGGCCGCGGGCCTCTCCCACCTCCAGTGCCCCGCTCCTGACAAAGGCAGTCGCCTGCCTCACAGGGCTGCTGGGAGAGCCACACGTCAACTTGGAAATGGGTCCAGAGGGAGCCTTGGGAGCTGCCCGGGTGCTGCTGCTTACCAGCTGCCCCTTGGCCTCCCTCGGCTGTGGGTGCAGTCACCCCACTTCCAGGGTTCCGGTGGGAATTAGGACCCGGGAGTGCAGAGCGCCTCGCTAGGCGCAGGGAAGATGCAGGGAAGGCGCACAGACAGGGAACCACAGGTGTTTCCCTGCACTGCATTCGCGCCTCTGGGGGAGGCCACGGTTTTCTGCTGCTGCCAACCCAGCGTTTGGCACAAAGCTGGTCCTCGACCGACGTTTGCTAAGGAGGCGAATGAAGCAGTCGGACCGTTCAGCTCCCAGCTCTGCTGGGCACCCTGGGGGGCCGGCAGGGGCATGCGGAGGCCCTGAGGGGCAGCCACTGTGGACTCTCTGAGCCCTGAGAGGGCAGGGCCCTGTGGTGAGGCTCTGCCAGCAACGAGCGGCCGGCAGCGGGGCTGTCGCGATGGGGAGGAAGCGGAGGTTGCAGGGGGCCCTTCCAGGCAGGGTGGGGCCTGGCGTGGGGGCCCTTCGAGGCACAGCAAGCTCAAAGCCGTCGTTCCCGTGTTTCTCCTCCCGCCTCCCACCCAGTCCTTGCCGAGGCCTCCGTGAGGGGCCTGGAAGACCGGAAGCTGTGGCAGGTGGGCAGAGAAGGCGCTACGCTCAAGTGCCTGAGTGAAGGGCAGCCCCCTCCCTCCTACAACTGGACCCGGTAAGGGGCTGGGCCTCGCGGCCTCGCAGGGGACCAGGGTCCTTCCCTCTAAGGCTGGCGTGTCCTCATTATGGGCTGGGACAACATACTCTGAGCCCCAGATAAACTGGGGTGCACATTCAGACCAACACAAGAACACACATGGTCGTTAAATGCTCCTGGCTTGTACCCAGAATAAGCTAATAAAGACCTTGGCTTCTTTTTTCTAACTTTTAAATGCTAAAGCACTGAAACATTAACGTTGCATATATGTATGTAACTTCCTAAAGTGGGCAAGACAAAGCGATACCTGACTGGAGCTGCTGTTGAACCCACACTCCTATGGCCGCCCCCACCTCTGCCCGTTCCTTCACGGAGGGAGGGCTTGGCCCTCTCCAGGGTCTGCGGCCGGGGACTCGGGAGGGTGGGGCCTACATGTGGGGGCCGTGATGGGTGCGCAGCCTTGTGCCCAGGGCTCTGCTCTGGCTGCGGTGTGCGGCCCGAGGGGCGGCCCCGGTGCCTGGTGCCCAGGGCCGGGTGACTCGGGGCCTGTGGGAGCTCGTGGGACGGCACGCGTGTGGGGGGGGTGCCCGGGTCAGGCTGGGCGGCAGGGGGGAGGGGGCCTCTGCCCAGGCCTGCCTGGGGGAGGGAGGGGCACCGTGGGAACAGCCCGGGCGCGGGTGACGACAGGCGGGAGGGCGGTGCAGGGCCGTCTGGGCTTGTCGGGCGGCGGCGGCCTCGGCCCGCCCGGCCGGCCGGCACCCATCGGCTCCCCCGTCCCCCAGGCTGGACGGGCCTCTGCCGAGCGGGGCGCACGTGGAAGGGGGCACCCTGGGCTTCCCCCCGCTGGCCCCCGAGCACAGCGGCGTGTACGTCTGCCACGTCAGCAACGCGCTGTCCTCGAGGGACTCTCGGGTCACCGTGGAGGTGGTCGGTAAGCCCCCGGGGCAGACACGGGGGCCGGGGGCCGCGGAAGCCAGCCGGAGCCAGCGGAGAGGGTGGGACCGTGGCCTGTGGGGTGGTGCTGGGTGTGCTTCGTGCGGACAGTGGGTGGGGGGGGGCGTCGGGACCCGAGAGTCCGGCTCAGACGGCGGCCTGTCCCCAGCAGACCCAGAGGAGACCACAGGGAAGCAGGTGGACGTGGTGTCCGCCTCGGTGGTGGTGGTGGGGGTGATCGCAGCGCTCCTCCTGTGCCTGCTGGTGGTGGTGGTGCTGCTGATGTCGCTGTACCACCGGCGCAAGGCCCAGCAGATGACCCAGAAATTGTGAGTCCTGGCTGCTCCTGGGGGGGAGCAGAGCTGGGGGCACAGAGGGGCCAGCAGCAGGCGGGCTGGGGCCAGGGAGGGGGCGGGGACTGCGTGTGGACATCACGGAGCTGACGGACCAGCGGTGTGGGGGGCAGGCTTTCGGGAGCCGGGACCAGGGCTGGACGAGGATCCGCAGGCCCGCCCCGGGTGTCTGCGCGTCCACACGCACTCTGTGGCCACTCAGTCACACGCCAGGGACAGCAGCACCACCACAGCCTCGTGTCCCAGTGGTGGGGCTCACTGGGGGGCCCCCACGACCCTCTGCTCCTGACCCTCTGGTGTCTTTCCCAGCGAGGAGGAGCTGACCCTGACCAGGGAGAACTCCATCCGGAGGATGCATTCCCACCACGGGGACCCCCGGAACCAGGTACGTGCCCCACCCCCGCTCACCAGGAGCACGGCCCTCTGGCCACTGACTCCCAGCGGGGGCTGGGCCAGCGTGCTTTTGTGGGGTGCCTCCCCTGCTTTGCATCTCCTGGGCTCCGAGGGAAGCCACCGCGAGCACCGGCCCCAGGCTGGGGCTGGGGAACTGGGGGCGGCGGTCCGGGAGGAGGCTGGCGGAGGACAGTGTGCAGAGGCCGAGCCCTGTCCTGACCCTCCCCCATGTCCGGGCCCCGCAGCCGGAGGAGAGTGTAGGGCTGAGAGCCGAGGGCCACCCCGATAGTCTCAAGGACAACAGTAGCTGCTCTGTGATGGTGAGGCCCCCGGCCCCGCCGGCGTCCCCACCATGCTCCTCAGGCCCCCCCCTTGCTCCCCGTGGGCCGGGTCCAAGGCCCCTCTCCTCCTGACCCTCCCCCCTCGGCCCAGCTCCGGCGCCAGCCCCTGCTCTGCCTCTGTCGCTGTCTCCGCCCCCGAGTCCCCAACCCAACACCTGCTCCCAGCTCCTTCTCGGGGCCCCTCTGCCTCCGAGATGGTCTTGACCCCTGACCCCTCACCCCTGCTTGGGCCTGACCTCCGACCCGGCCTTGCCCCACCGGGCCCCTCGGGCCTGACTGCCCCCACCCTCGGTCTGCAGAGCGAGGAGCCGGAGGGCCGCAGCTACTCCACGCTGACCACGGTGAGGGAGATAGAGACGCAGACCGAGCTGCTGTCGCCAGGCTCCGAGCGGGCGGAGGAGGAGGAGGACGGCGACGAAGGCATCAAGCAGGCCATGAGCCACTTTGTGCAGGAGAATGGGACGCTGCGGGCCAAGCCCACGGGCAACGGCATCTACATCAACGGGCGGGGGCACCTGGTCTGACCCAGGCCCGCCTCCCCGAGCCGGGCCTCCTCTGCCGACGTGGGGGCGCCCCACTCTCCCAGGCCCCCCACCCCACGGACTGCTCGACCTTTCCCTCCGGCCCCTGCTCTGGTGCCGGGACGGCCGTTGGCTGCGTCCCTGTGCCGTGCGTGCAGGTCACTGAGTGAGTGTGCGTGTGTGTGTGCGTGTGCGTGTGTCGGCTGGGGGAGTGCGTGGAGGGGTGGCCGTGCCCGGACGCAGCGTGGAGAGTGCGTGGCTGTGTGACCTCCGCCTGTGAACACAGACAGGCGTTTGCTTCAGACCCCAGAGCAGTATTAGTGACGCAGAGGCTGGAGGCCAGAGGCGGAGACGGCAGGCATCCCCAGGTGTGCGGGCACCGCTGGGGCTGGGACCTGGCCTCCCGAGCGGGGGAGCTGGGCTCCCCCACGGGGCACGAGGGCGCGAGGGGTGCCCGCTGCTGCAGAAGAAGCCCTCTGCCCTCCGGTGGCCTCGGGGCCTGCTGCGGGGACATGCTCTCTTCGAGGACCGATGTTCTGAACACTCTGAGAAGAAAAGACTTAAACAGACTTTTGATTTGTATGAAGTCACTCCCACTTCAAGTGAGGCCAGTCTGTGTGGGAGCCCGGCACAGCCCAGACCCCGGGACTGACTTCCTGGGGGCCTGAGGGAGGCTTGTTCTGGGCACCCGAGCCCGGGCGGCCTCTCTGGGGGGACCTGGGGCTGGTGGGGTTGGAGGTGTCCACCGGGGTTGTGACTTGGGGGCAGGGTCTGTCCTGGGTCCCCCAGGCTCCTGTTTCCTTCGCGGTGTCCACAGTGGCCTGTGCCCCGTGGGCGGTTGTTGGGACTCGGTGCTGAGGGTTCCTGGCTCGGTTGTTGGGGAAAGAGGGTGGGGGTCCAGGGTACACGACGGAGCTGCCAGGGGCAATGCCGCCTCCGTCCCCAGGGTCTTGGGGCCACCCCTCGGGGCTCCTCTGGCCGTGTCTCTGGGTGGAGGCTGGGTTTCGATGGGGCCTGTTTCTGCCTGGTCCCCCCAGATGCACGTGGCCCGAGTCCCTCGGCTGAGTGCCCCAACCCCGCCCGGCCTCACGCCCTCTGGGTCTCTGGGACAGAGGAGAGACTCCCCGCCCTGCCCCCCAGCCAGCCCGGGACCTTGGATCTGGCTTCCTCATATGTACATTCCATGTAAATATGTGCACATTTGTACATACAAAGCGATATTCTGTTTTTAAATAAACAGATGGAAAACTCCTGTTCTGTCTGGCCCCTTCCTTGCTCCCGGAGCCATGTAAGCCCCAAACCCTGTTCTCCCGTCTCAGTGCCGCCACCCCTATGGTCCCAGGGAGGGAGGAGTTGGGTGCCTGTGGCCGGGAGGGGACGGGAGAGGAATGACACCCACAAGATGGATGGGTGGCCACCTGTGAGTTCCCGGGGGGGACTGGGTGCTCTGGAGAGGCAGACACAGAAACCAGCCCCCAGAGGAGTGCCCTGGGGTGCCCGAGTTGGAAGGATTCGGGGTCACCCGTGTGCACGCCGAGGCTCAGGGACATCCCAGCAGGGCCCGGCCCAAGCGACCCCGCCCTGTGTGTGCTCGGCACGGCTCTGCGTGGCCTCGCTCCCAGGTTGGCCTCAGGTCTCCACCCGGGACCCCAGAATCCTGGTCGCCAAGGGCGTGTCACCTGCCCGGGCGCCAGCACCTGCCCAAGGCTCTGACATCAGCGGCCCCAGCCAATGAGCGGGCCCGAGGTGGGTGAGGATGTGAATGTCAGCGGCCTCCCCCACCCGGCCCTGTGGTTGCAAAGATGCTCTAACAGGAAGCGGGTTTGGGGCGCTGCGCAGCTTCCTGCCCCAGGCCCGAGCAGGCGAGAGGGGCGAGTGCCAGGTCGGCCACGAGACCCAGCTTCGTGCCAGGGTCCTGGCACTTCCTCCTCCACGGCCACTTCCGCGTGGCCGGCGGGAGCCCCAGGGGCCGGGGCTGTTGCCTGTTGCCCAGGCCACCCTCCACCCCCAGTTCAGAGCCCTGCCCCCTGGGGCCGGGCCAAGCCTAGAGGCCAGCTTGGGATTTCATGGGGGACCACTAGGCCAAAGGTCCCGGGGGCCGGAGGTGGCCGGGCCGGAGGCCGGGGGCTCCAGCCATGAAGTCTCGGCAGAAGGGAAAGAAGAAAGGCGGTTCCAAGGAGCGGGTGTTTGGCTGTGACCTGCAGGAGCACCTGCAGCACTCGGGCCAGGAGGGTAAGGCGGCTGCCACGGGCTGCTGGGCCGCTGGGGGTCCTGAGGGGCCCACAGGGACGGTGGCTGGGGGCTGAGGGGCAGGCGAGGTGGAAATCTGCTTCGTGAGAAGGCAGGCGGCTCCGTGTGACACCTGGGGACAGGGGAGGGAGGCTGCGGGGGGGCAGACGGCAGGCCCTTGGGTCTGAATGAAAGGGGACGGGGCGAGGGCCCCCTGGAGTCTGAGGCGGCCCTCGGGGGCTCCAGGTGGAGGACTGTGCGGGCCGGAGGTGTGTGCGCTGGTCCCCTCGCAGCCTTGCTGGGCCGCAGGCGAGGACCCAGGGTGGGGATACCCTTCCCCGTCGTCTGGGGTTCCCCTGCTCTCCTCGTGCGGAGGGAGGCCAGTCCGACTCGGAGCCGCGGAGCCGCTGTCGCCGTGGTGGGCAGCGCCAGGGAGCAGGAGGCGGTGTGGAGGGCGCCACGGAGGCCGGTGGGACCTGGGTGGCCCGGGAGGGGACTTGGGCAGGAGCAGGGCCAGGGACCGACCTCACGGCTGCAGGCCACCCGTGCCCCGAGCTGGGCGGGGAGCAGCCACTCCGTGCGTTTCTCAATCTGCCCTGAAAGTGAACGCAGGCATCCCGGCCGCCCGGCCCGGCTCAGCTTGTTTTCGGCACGTCCGGCTCCTCCCAGAGAAGGGCCCGTTCTTCATTCCTCGTTCTTTCCCCCACCCCACCCCCACCCAATCTGTCATTTCCTCTTTGTCCTCCCCTCGCTCTGGGCTGTGGCCCCTGCAGTGCAGGCAGGGGACGTGGTTCCTGCTCATTTCCTGCTCAGGGCCCCGCCCCGCATCCCCAGACACCTTCTTCCCCTTTTCTCCTCCCCTTGGGGCCCCCATCCCCGCCGGCCTTGGCGAAGGGAAAGCCCAGGCGCTGAGGAAGAGTGTGGAACAGTAAAGTGGCTTCTCTGGGCCTCGCTCTTCCCCGAGGGCAAAGCCCAGCTGCCCGTGCGAGGAGACCCTTTTACGAGGGAGGGATTCCTGCAGGGAGTGGAGGCTGTGGGCCAGGGCACAAGACCCTCTGACCATGGGGCCAGCTGGCGGGGGCCGCTCTCTGGAAGGACAGACACCTGGTTGCTGCGTCCTGATCGCAGAGCATCCCAGGGCCTGGGAGAAGCAGCTCTGCTCAGCAGAGCCTCCCCTGAGCCCAAGGGGGGAGCCACCTGGGCACCAGAGCAGCAGCGACAGCGGCCCCTCGCCCAGCTCTCCTGGCACAGACAGGTGGCTTCTCTCCGACCCAAGGCCCGGCAAGCATGAAAGCCCTGGCCGGTGGAGACCGGTGTGTCTGGTTAGTTTATCCCCGGTGGCGATCTGGGCTCCTCTGCAGATACACCCATCTCAGTGCCGTCTCCCAGCCCTCTGCCCCAAGCCGGTCCCGATCTCCCGATCTCTATCTCTTTCGGCACCTTGTTGAGGTTGCAGATTCTCGGGGCCCTGGCTGTGACCCGCCCCCACACCCCTCTGACTCTGCCTCCCCTACGCCGCCTCTGACTTGTAGCTCTGACCCCCTCTCTCTTCCCCCATGGGCTTGACCCATTGCCTCTGTTCTCTGGAGGTTTGAAACCAGCAGAGGACACGGCGGGGAAGGCCTGTCTGCTGGTTCCAGTTCGTGTGGAGAGGACCTGGGTTTAGGTGGCAGCAGCCTGTGTATGAGTCATGCGGCGGCCAAAACTGGGTGTAGCCTCACACCCCGACAGCAGAGCCTCCGTTCTGACGGGAAGCCACGCACCATCGGCACGCAGTGCTGGGTGCCCGGGCTCAGGGACCCTCTCGGGGGGCACAGGGCCTGGGGACGGACGGTGACCCAGGGCCAGGAGCCAGTGGAGGTGGGAGAGGGGACGGGGCTGCGGAGCTTAAGGAAGCTGTCACTCTCGAGGCGACTGGTGTGCTGGCCCACACTTCCACAGCCCCCGGGCGAAGGGTTCCTCAACTTCCGCGACCTTTCCTGAGTCCTGGCTCTGGGCCGCAGGAGGGCAGAGGGCAGAGGGCAGAGGGCGCGGGCAGCAGGTCCTACGAGGAGGGTTTTCAATCGTAGAGGATGGGTTTATCATTTCCTTCATTCTGTATTTCGGTCTCACTGAATTCCACAAAGAGCTTGGAATGGAGGACTTCCCAAACCCAAAGCTTTAGGAAAGGGTAAAGGACGGAGGAACTGGGCCGACGGGAAAACGAGAGGGAGGGTAAGGTCGGTGCCCAGAACGGTGAGCCGGGTTCTCTGTGGTTGGTGGAGGCGGCCGAGGCGGAGGGAGGCGCAATCAGCTGTGAGACTCCCGACGCCCGTGGCAGGAGACAGCCCGGCCGCCCAGGGGAGACGGCGCTTTCTGACTCGGCACGTGGGCTCGGGTGGGTCTCAGTTAACAGGACCCGAGGGTTTATCTTGGCAATGTTCTGCGTTGTCTTCTGAGATGCCACCAGTTCTCGTAACTGATTGCTAATGAACTGAATCGTTCAATAAACGTTTACTGCATACTATGTTTCAGCACTGGGCTGGATGCCGGGGAGGACGTCACATTGTGTCCAAAGTCACACATAGAAAAGAAACAAATCGTAACAAAGAGCGTGAAGTATGTGACACAGGGATAAAGAAAGGAGTGCGGAGCTAGAACAAGTAAAGGGCTCAGAACTGGGGGTCGGTGTTCGAGGTGTGTGTTGAGGGGCGCACAGGCGTTCCCCAGACGGAGTCAGAGGGGAGGACGCTTCCAGCCCGGAGGCGACGTCGGTGGGTGTCAAGGGGAGGACGTGGTACCACCTTGTTCGCGGAGGAGCAAAGGCTGGATCGCAGGGTCTGTTGGGGAGCACCCTGGCACCGCGGCCGGGGCCGCAGCTGAGACCCGATTTGTGAAGGTCGCACCTTCCCTGCTGGGGAGCTGATGTGTGTTTCGATATTATTCTGGTATCATATCTGAGGATTTAAAACAGGGAATTGTGGAGCTGGGATTCAACACTCGAGTTTCCCGTGCACGAGGCACCCTGGGAGACCGTAAGGGGATACGGAGACGGGTCACACTGAGAGCCCACCCCTAAGGAGCTTGCGGTCTAGGAACAGAGGAGGGGCCGGGGTTGCGAGACGCCACTCGGCTCTTGAGCTTCTGGACTTGCAGCCTGGCTCTGGCGGGGTGGCCCCGGGCACTCGTGAGTCCTCCGGTCCCCGGTCCTTCTCCCCGCCGCACGGGGACGACCGCGCGTGACGCACACACGTGGTCGCTCAGTGGGCCCGCGGGTGCTCCTCTCCGGGGCTGGCCTGGCTGAGGGTCTGTCACTGTTTTGCGCACCTTTCGGTGACGGAACTAATGTCCACGCACGGCCTTCCCAGAGGGTGCGCTTCGCACCCACCCCGCCGGCCCTGTGCGAGTTGTGGTCGGGATTCAGGGTGAAGCCTGATCGTGGAAGTGCGTGGACGCAACACTTCCAGCTGGGTTGCCGCCCCTTTAAAAGTCCCAGAGAAGCGAGTAGTTTCCTCGAAGGCAGAACTTTCGAACAGGAGCGGGCAGTCTGGAGAGGCACAGAGCTCCCCCCGACCCCGCCCCGGGATGGGGGTGACGCTGGGGCTCTAGGCCTGGTGGGGGCAGAGGGACTGTAGGGGCGTTCGTGGCTTGGAGCTGACGCCCGCGAGACTCTTTCGGACAGGCTGCATGCCACGGGCACCGCCCTCCCCAAGCCCCCCTGCTGGTGCTCCCACTTCTCAGACCCCGGGCGGCTCTGACACCCCCGTGTCTGCCCCTCTGCCCCCAGTGCCCCAGGTGCTCAGGAGCTGTGCGGAGTTCGTGGAGGAGTATGGAGTGGTGGACGGGATCTACCGCCTCTCGGGGGTCTCCTCCAACATCCAGAGGCTCCGGTGAGTCGGGCAGTTTCGGGAGGGTCCGGAGGCCCGGAGGCCGGGGAGCCAGAGGGTGAGGGGAGGTGGGGGGAAGGAGACTCAGTGACCGGCACTGTCTAAAGGAGGCGCTCTGGAGTCTGCTCAGGAGAAGCTGAGACCATGCACTGCCACC